TAGATGTATGCCAGGCGCGTCGCAGCGTAACAGTGTTTCGTGAGATATCGCGAAGCCTGTTACGCGAGACGTGGTCTGGCGTACATCTACCTAGTAAGATCATAACTTCACGTATTGCTATTAAGGGGAAAACGTTATTATTCAGATTTGTGATAAATGGTAGGGTTATCAACTCCAACATTAACATTTGTAAAAACAATAAAGTAAAGTTAGCACACCTTGGTGGACCTGGGGTTTTTCAAAGTTCGAGATGGAAGTACTCGAAAAAAAATCATAGCTGGACTGCGAAAATTGTGGAAAATCTGTTTTCTCCATATTGATTTTTTTTCGAGCACTCCCATTTCGAAATTTGCAAAACCCTCAAGTCAACCACTAGCGGCATCTTTTCAGAGTTACTAGCATTCTTTTCGACCGTCGCAGACCCATCCGCTGAGCTACAATCGTGCACACCGAGAGGGACTGCATCGTTCCAGTTGAAGGCGAGGATTGGCATGTTCTGGAGAGTGTGCGTACTGGCGCCAACGGCAAAATTAGCGTCCATCTATGCTGTTAATATACCTATAATCCTTAGCGCGGCGTGTGGTTTTAATGTAGTGACAATTCTTGCAAACCGTTACATCTCACAGACCTGCCCCTTTGAAGTGGTAAACAGATTATCATAGAAATATCACGGCATAGTTTTGTAGATCTCGACGTGTCCTAACAAGAGCCAGTCTGCGGCTGACCGAATAAGAAACAGTCGATCTGCAACGTGCCGAACACACTGAAACCCATCTGCAAAACGAGGGTTTTAGGTGGATAGCTTGAAAAAAGTGTGTATTACTCCGTAAATCCATTCTACCAAACTTTTTGCAATCAATAATTTAAACATTGGACCTTTACGATTCTTTCTGTGTGCGAGGATTGGCCTGAATGTCTTCAAGTAACTTGCAAACCATGCACCTATCTTTGTTTTGAGGATAGGCTTTTGTGCACAAACGTGTTCGGTGCTTTGCAGGTCGGATTTTGTGTCCGCGGGGCGTTGCAGACCGGCTTTTGTGTTTTCGGCGCGCCACACATCGGCTCTAGCTGTTAGAACGTGTCGATCTTAAGTTCGGGGAACAGCATGACCACTTTCCCACTCCGAAGGTAGTACATGAAGGTGTTGAGGTGAGTTTGACGTAAATGATTTTCTATTTATATTGAACCTTTGAAAGTGCACAGCACATACTTGAGCGTTATGTGCTGTGCGTTACGGATTACTGTAAGAACGACTCCTATTTTCAGAGCTACCTAGCGGCGAGAAAGAAAAAACAAAAACATGGTAGGGGAATTTGTTTGCGATTGGTCTGAAAGTGTCGCGATAAGCTGAAGTGCCCATCACCACTTGAAACACCAAGGACCAAGGATTTCCTAAGCAGTTGAAATCTTATCCTTTTCATACCTCTCTTGGCAGCGCTGGTGTGTAGACGTTGAGGTACAAGCAGTCCTCACTGCCCGCGAAAAGCCCATTAATCATCTGGCTGCAAGGTTCTACAGTCTCTTCTGTTGCATTTCTTACACCTGACCATGGGATCGGTAGCCTGGGTGCCTGCATTGAGAAAACTGTTAAAACTACTGTTTGTTTGGAACCAAGGTATTATTCCGCTCACACGTCAGATTTACCTTAAACCTTAGTACCCCGACCGGAGGCAGAGCGTACGGTACACCATAGAAGGCATAATATGAAACGTTCGAGCTATACGCGACATTTACTGCACCCCGAACACGTCCTTGACCTTCTATGGTAACGACCAGATCTTCAAGTGGGCTCGGGTCGGGTCTAAAAGATAAGAAGTTAACAGTTGTACCAAATGTATTTAAGTGATTCTCAGAATATGGGCCATTTAGATCCCGTGGCCCTTCGCAACCATGTGATATGGTTTTAAAAGATTTTTGTACCATCTAGATACTAAAAAGCACTTACATTACCTGGTGCAGTACTAAAAACCCAAGAATACTGCAACAGTGGGTGACTAGAGAAGTTTAAATGGTCAAAATGTGAACTCCGGTACGTTCCCAAGGTCTGAATTCATGCGGACTTTGCCAAATTCCGGACAATTTTAAGGGAATAGTCGTTTAAGGGGGGATCCTAGTGTAGCGACTCAAAAACAAAAGTAATTTTGAGAATTATTTCACAAAAAAAAAAGAAACAACCTATAGGCTTCATCAAACTGTTCAAAGCACTGTTTAATAGATTGCACTTTAATCTACAAAACTAAATCAAAAACGTCCCGATCGCTTGAAAACTGTGGCGACACGATCTGGCGGGAGATAGCGTGTTTCAGGCGTCATGATGGGCGCAAACTTTCCCACTGACTGGTGCGTCTAAAACAGTTGTACGAAACGGCGTTTTGTTCAGAAGGAACCTGGCTATGGTTGGAACTAGAATCTTTGCGATAAAATAACTTTTAGTATTTTTTGAGTAAGTCAAACTTTTATTACTGCATTAAAGGCAAAAGTTGTCAATGTTTTGATTTTTTTTAAACGAGAAGGGCACCTCTGATCCCAGATATCCTAGTTCCAACTATAGTCAGTTTTCTTCTGAACAAAACGCTGTTTCGTACGACTGTTTTAGACGCACCAGTCCGTGGGAAAGTTTAGGCCTATCATGAAACTACAAGCTCCCTTGTAGCAGGCCGTGTCACCACAGTTTTCAAGCGTTCGAGACGTTTTTACTTTAATTTTGTAGATGAAAGTGCCATCTATTCAACAGTGTTCTCACATAATCGATAGTAGGTACAGTATTTTAAATACAAAATTCCCAAAATAAGCATTGTATTTTAACCGCTTTACTGGGACCCCCCCTTAAGGCACATTGCATTTCTAGAGAGACATATCTGGGGAACGCAAGGAATGAATTTTGATCTGGAAATACTCTTCTATATTTCGTCAGGAGATGACCAAAGTCGTGCTCACTAACTTTTTCAAAAAGTAACGGGGTTCACAATGCTTGCTCTGACGTCGAACTGGGCACAGGTAGAGTAACAATTCTACGCCTACAGCACCACATCATGGTCTTTTAACACTGTACTAGAAGTACGTGATTTGAACTATCACAACTTTGCACATATCTTCTTTGAAGTAAAATAAAACCATTCCAACCAAAAAACCTAGGAAATTCGACAAAAAAAATAATAATTAGGAACCCCCAAATACCCCGCATTCTGAGAATCACCCCACTGCTGCCATACCACCGGGTATTTCTCCACTCCAATCAAGTATAAGCGTCGAGATATTACGATTACACAGCTTAGCTGATACAGCATGGTGTGCTTTAAACAGTTTGTTAAAAGTCACTGGAAACTAAACAGTGTGAATTGCACACTGTATACACCGTTGGGCACACAATTGCTCTAAAAACTCAACAGTTGGTCACTACTGCCTTTCAGACGTGTGTAACTATGGAAAATGGGAGGCACTTCCATTTTTACTGTCGAAAAGAAAAGTAGCTCGTCTCCAAACGAGCTTCTATGCTAGAGGTTTTAAATTGTCCACTACCGACATTCTTTCGACTATTTCGGTGAAGATAACCAAGCTATGTCGATTTGATCACTACCACATGGTAGGCCACTAAAATTATTTTCCCGAGAAAACTGAAAATGTAATCCATAATCTCCAAAGTTACGCGTCTGAAAGAAAATATTGCCATTTGTTGAGTTTTCGGAGGAATTATGTGCATTTCACCAACTGTTACTACATTGTGCATGCCATGCGTACTGTATATGCAGTGTGCAATGCACACGGAGTTTTCCCTGAATTCCTTTAGCAATCGTCAACTATGAACTTAAAATTATAATAACTCACCGATTGTTTGTGAGGTAAACGATTACTCCAATGACAACTCCTACACAAACAAGCAGAAGAACACCTCCCAGGAGACACCCTAAAAGAAAATTATTTGATTATAGCTGGACACTAGGTTGGAAACGACAACAACGAATTTTTTGAGGTAGAGTAACTAAAACTGTTCTAGATCAGCCCCTACTTCGGATATATTAGACCTCCACTCGCCCCGTCACTAAAATGTATCTGTTGGGATTTTTTAGTGAAACGGCTTTTTTTTCCTTCCAGAAAATACCATCATTTCATCCAGGCGCGGTTTGAGCGACTCGCGCCGCTGAGTCGAACATTTACATTCATCGTTTAGGAGGTGGGGAGGATGTTATGCTCAAATTGATATTACTTGGTATGTTCGCATAAATTCATGTCAGTTTGGACCTACATCTACATTGACCTACATTGAAGGCCCAAACAACACGTTTCAGTCGTGGATTCGATCTAAAGTCACGTAAGCTTTAAATGCGGTTAGGGGTCAAAACTAAGAACCTCGATCGAGTTTTTCTAGCAGCCTCGATTTAATTATAGTTGGAAGTATTTTTGGCGGACAGTATTGCTTTGTTTTATCATGAAATATTTCAAAAGTCTTTTAAGGCCCAATACTTAGGAGAGTCGAGAACCATGTATGCCAGTTTCATTACATTTATTTCATTTCGATCCAATGATATGTGCCCATACATAATCTTGATCTCCTGCAAAGGCCCTTCCAGCTGCTCCAGAATACGACGTTTATACCAGCGTTTAACATTTCGCTTGTCCCTAATGAAAAGCACGCACGGCGCTCAGCCGCTGGCGAAAGCACGCACGGTGGATTGCCGCTGGTGAAGTCACGCACAGCGCATAGCCACTGGCGAAACCACGCAAGTGCACTTTACAGTGATTTTTGGAGACATATACCATAGGGAAGAGGAAATCATGCTGTTTCAGAATATAAAGATATCTCAATTATTTTGAAAAATGCACTTGCGTCGTTTCGCTAGTGGCTATGCACTGTGCGTGCTTTCGCCAGCGGCTGAGCGTCGTGCGTGCTTTGCATTAAGGACAAGCGATTTATCCTAATGAAAAACTTCTGCTGAGTGTGTTGCTGGTCGGTCTCAACTTCAAGTTTCCTTTGATTTCCTTTGATCCGAAGGAGGTATTCCAGCGGTTAGAAAAAAAAAGAAGTTACAAGATGGCTGCCACGCAACATAACAAACCATAAGCTATTTTCCAGAGCAGCCGATCGCGCTCGGGAGCCTCACTAACCTAATAACGTAATAATATCGCGTCTACTGGAGTCGAATTTTGTATTGTTTGAAATCGAGGCACGAGAAAAACACTATAACAAGCTAGAGGCCGCCCTTCCGCCAAACGACATAAGCCCGCTTATATAGCTTTTAAGCAAAAGAGCGGGCTAAAAATGGGAATTTCCGTTTAGGCGGCAGCTGGTTCGAGTGGTGTGCGCTAGCTTAAACATAGCGCGGGGGCAACGCGAGGCGGGGCTGGGCGGGCTGTCAGTGCCGCCTACTACTGTCTCGCGCGCGATTCGAACCAGCTGCCGTAGGGCTAAACAGAAATTGTTACTTTTTATGTGTTCCCATTGAGATCCGGACCTGAATTTTTATTCCTGGTCAGGTGCTGGAATACGCCGCCAACAGGGATTCAGATTCACACTCTAGCGCCCGGAGAAAATACTGATTCATTGGACGGGAATTCGAACTACGTTCATTTCGTCATATCTGCCAGACTGCTCAACATATTTTTAATCGGATAACAGCGACGAAAAGCCCTCGGCATGGACTATCGCGCTGCACGCTGCTGCGCAGCGGTTCTCAGCCTCGGAGGGCGCAATAGCGTCGCGATGTCGGTGAGAGGGGGAGTGAGGAGGCCGACTTTAGGGCGCTCTGGATGCT